CAACATTGGGACTCTATCTTAGTATATTTAATAACCACAAAATTAAACTCTAGTGCTAAACATGCTTGGGAATCAAAAAAGACCAAACGTGAGAGGCCTAATCTTAAAAAATTATTGAGTTTTCTGGAAGACAGGTGTGACATGCTTGAATCTATTGAGGAGGATAAGCCTTCCTCCACGAACCATCAACAAAAGTCTTCAAGCTCTAAATCACTTGTGACATCTAACAATAATCCTACACAATCTTATAAACTCAAATGTACAGTCTGTGATGAAGAACACAGTGTATATAATTGCAACAAATTCCTTAAACTAAACACTAATAGTAGATACAATGAAGGAAACGCTTAAAGCTTTGTCTGAATTGCCTGAGAAAGGGACATGGTGTGCAACAATGTCATGCCAGTAAATGTAGAAAATGTTCCAAGCCCCAAACACTCTTTTACATATCGAATCGCAATCTAGAGCAAACTCTGTAGGTCAATTGGAAAATTCATCCACAACCACGGTTGAGGAAAATGCTGTTGGAACTTCTACCTCTAAATCTCATTGCTCGATATTCCCTAACACTTGTACCTTGCTGTCAACTGCCTTAGTAAATATTATCGATAGCAGTGGTCAAACGCAAACCTGTAGAATTCTTTTAGATAATGGCTCTCAATGTAATTTCATAACCAACAAACTTTGTGATAAACTGAACCTTCCGAAAACCAAAATACAAGCCATAATTTCTGGTATTGGTGATTCTTCTTCTAAGGTGACCTCAAGGACAAAGGTCATAATTCAGTCCAGATTAAACCTTTACTCAATTAACTTAAATTGTCTTGTGGTCGAAACTATTACTGGCTTAGTACCTTGTAAAACTTTTAATAAAAATCAATTAAATGTTCCACCCAATCTAATTTTGGCTGATCCCAGCTTTTGATGTTAGTGCTCCGATAGACATATTGGTTGGAGCAGATACTTTTTGGGACTTATTATGTATAGGGCAACATAAGTTAGGTCCAAATGCACCAGTCTTACAAAAGACTCAATTAGGTTGGATAGCTTCAGGTCCACTTAATCTAAATAGCAAGTCCAATGAAAAATCTCTTTGTTATTTTAATACTATTGACTTAAATCAACAGCTGGAAAAATTCTGGCAATTTAGAAAGTGTAAAGGAAACTTCTCACCTTTCAAAGGAGGAAATATTTTGTGAACAGCATTTTCAAACAAATACTTGTCGGGACAATACTGGTAGGTTTGAGGTAACAATTCCTTTTAAATTAGATACTTCAAAGCTCGGAGATTCCTTTCAAATTGCAAGAAACAGATTCTACTCTATGGAAAGAAAAATGCTGAAAAACGATCCTCTTAAAACTCAATACACTGAATTCATTTCAGAATACTTAGAACTAGGTCATATGACTAAACAAGAATCTATGGACGACTATAGCGGGTTTTTCTTACCCCATCACGCTGTTTTCAAACCTCCAGCACTAGTACAAAACTTCGTGTAGTCTTCGATGGCTCAGCTAAATCTACCTCTGGCTTATCTGTGAATGATCTCATGATGGTTGGCCCCAATATCCAAGATGATTTATTCTCTATAGCAATTCGTTTTCGAAAACACAATATTGTCATTTCAGCAGATATAGCCAAAATGTATCGGCAAATACTTGTAACCAAGGAACAACGACAATTCCAAAAAATACTCTGGCGATTTGATCCAACTGAGCCGTTGTCAATCTTTGAACTAAACACTGTAACTTATGGCTTAGCATCTAGTGCATTCTTAGCAACAAGATGTCTACGAAAGATAGCTGATGATATTAAGCAATCTAATCCCAAATTTAGCTTCATAATAGAACACGATTTCTATGTTGACGACCTTCTTTCTGGTGCAGACAGCCTAGAAGAAATCTTAGATATCAAAAATTCTTTGATACAATTATTCAAATCTTATGGTATGGATATTCGAAAATGGAACTCTAATAATTTGATGCTTATTGGTGATACTGATCAATTAGAAACTATTGAAATAGGAAACTCTGAAACTAGTAAAACTCTTGGACTTAATTGGAATCCTAAGTCAGATATCTTATCATATTCAGTTATTCAACCCTCGTTAGTCACCGTTAGGAAAAGATCTATTCTCAGTTCTATCTCTCAGCTTTTTGACCCACTAGGTTTATTATCTCCATTAACTATAAACGCAAAGATCCTTATCCAACAACTTTGGCAATTACATGTATCATGGGACGAATCTGTGCCAGCATCAATTCACACGAAATGGTCCACATTTCAAAGAGACTTAAAGCTAATAACTGAACTTAGAATACCTAGACTTGTTTTGATCAATGATAGAAAGGCCGTAGAATTGATAGGATTTGCAGATGCTTCCGAATCAGCCTATGGCTGCTGTGTTTATCTTCGCTCCACAGATTCCTCTGGTAATTCTCAGTGTCACTTGCTGTGTGCAAAAACTCGTGTAGCTCCTTTAAAAATGGTTACCATTTCCAAGATTAGAACTGTGTTCAGCCTTACTTTTGGCTGAATTAATGGACAAGGTAAAATCTTCTCTACACTTACATGTAGACAAAATCTTTTATTTTTCTGATTCTACTATAACACTATCTTGGATTAATACTTCTCCTCGCCTATTAAAGGTGTTTGTAGCAAACAGAGTGGCACAGATTCAATCTTTAACTAAAACTACCAATTGGAGATATATAAATACAAAAGAAAATCCTGCTGATTTACTAACCCGTGGAATTTCCACACTTGAGCTGATAAATTCCGATATTTGGTGGAATGGCCCCAAATGTCTGAGCAGCTTCGATTATGAATCTAATGAAACCTTTGTACCTTCATCGTATGAGAATCTCCCAGAAACAAAACCCAAGGTTTTAATGACCACCTTATCTCCTGTGACAGAATTTCTAGAAATTGCTAAACTAAATGATTACTCCACACTTAGAAAACTTCAAAGAGTGTTTGCTTATGTACTACGTTTTATTCGTTTTTGTCGTACCAGTTCTTCCGATAGAGACTTAGGTCCCTTGACATGCGAAGAATTGGGAAATTCCTTAAAACAATTAACTCGCATTTGTCAACATGAATCATTCCTCCTAGAAATTAAATCATTAAAGGTGAACAAATTGAATCCTTCTAATGGCTTGTTTTCTTTAAACCCCTTTATAGATGATTCAGGTATCCTAAGAGTTGGAGGACGCTTGGGTAAATCCCATTTTAACTATGATAAAAAACATCCAGCTATTCTTCCTAAAAACCATCATCTCACTAAACTCTATGCCGAATCTAAACATATTGCTCTTCTTCATGCTGGACCTCAACTCACATTATCAGCAATTCGTGAAGAATTCTGGCCTATAAATGGTCGAAATTTAGTAAAACACATCGTTCATAATTGTATTCGATGCTTTCGTTTTAATGCTAAAACTGTTAAGTACCTGATGTCAGATCTACCAATTGATCGAACGCGACCTTCTCGACCCTTTTCGATATGCGGTACTGATTATGCAGGCCCATTTAAGTTACGCGATAGAAAAACTCGCAATTATAAGGTCCAAAAATGCTACATATGCCTATTTGTTTGTTTTAGTACCAAAGCTGTACACTTAGAATTGGTCAGTGACCTTACTACAGAATGTTTCATAGCCTCACTTCGTCGCTTTACAGCGCGACGTGGTATTTGTCGAAAATTATTTTCGGATCACGGTACTAATTTTATGGGTGCAAAAAATGAATTAAGGAAATTCTTTGAAATCAATTCAGACGAGATTCAGACTAGACTTGGTCAGGAAAGCATTGATTGGCGGTTTATTCCACCTAATTCTCCGCACTTTGGCGGACTTTGGGAAGCCGGTGTTAAATCGGCTAAGCATCATTTGCGCCGTAGTATCGGCGAAAATATTTTAACATTCGAAGAGTTTTCAACCCTTTTAACTCAAATAGAGTCCTGTTTAAATTCCCGACCAATTTCTCCCCTATCTGATGACCCTAATGATCCTAGTCCTCTGACACCTGCGCTCTTTTTGATAGGAGAGCCACTTTTCTCTATACCAGACCACAATTTGCTTGATGTTAATGAAAATCGTCTCAACCAGTATCAGCTTATCCAACAAAGACTTCAATTATTTTGGAAGAGATGGTCATCCGAATACATTTCACAGCTACAATCTCGAAACAAATGGAAGAAATCAGAGCCCCAAGTATTGACTTCGGGTACACTTGTACTAATCAAGGAGGATGGGCTTCCTCCTCTCAAATGGTCTTTAGGTCGTGTGCAAACGACCTTTCCCGGAAGTGATGGTGTCATCCGTAGTGCAATGGTGAAACTGCAACTGGAGTGATTCATCGTCCAGTAGTTAAATTGTGTGTGTTGCCTTGTGCTTAAAGGCATATCAGACTTCAAGGGAGGCGGCTATGTTAAGTATTTGAATATTGTTATTTTTACAACCGGCAACGCTGGCAACAGAAAGAAAAAGAAGAAGAAAAAAGACTCGTATCTAACCTAATTCACATCACCACGCCACGCATACTATATATTCTTTTGAATCTTTTGTTCAGTTTTTCGTTGCATTATAATAAATAAATTTAGTAAAGTGTAGTTATTCATTCCAAAATTAATAGGCCTTAGGTGGCAACAAACACCAAGAATTTATTGTGTAAAGAAGCACACCACAAGGATATGCTTCTTTCTAAGGGTGGAGGAGTTACGTCCCTGGATTATCCAATGTGTGACTACATATAGAAAGACTATAATATACCAGTGATTAATTAGATTAAGAGTTTTTTGTTTTGTAGTTGTTACCATACGTGTACTTTCTCAAAATAAATTTTGTTACGAAAATACAAAAATTTTAAAATCCGTTTTCAAGGTCACTTGAAAAATACGACCACTGATTTGTCACCATTGACGAAGATTTTGTCCGTTAGATATTTTGATGATTAATTACTTATTTGTTTTGAGAACGTAAGTGCAAAATAATTAATAATGTGGATATGTAAAATATGTAACGACAAGTTCAATTGTAGAAGTGATTTTCTAGTTCACAGTGGTAGTGCAAATTGTTCTACAGTACTTACGAATGGTATGTACAAATCTATATTTTCAAACCATGTCATTTTTGTAATTATTGTATTTGTTTAATTGAATAACATATTAGAATATTTTGTTGCTTCTATTGACAAGCTACAGCTTATAGTTCATTAAAAATGAAAGTAATTCAAATAAAAAAAAGGAGAAAAATAACCTCAAATTTTGTACTACTATTAACAATACAGTAGAACCCCTCATATCCGACCTCGGGATGTCCGACTCCTCGGGATATCCGACCATGTGCCCGACCGTCTTTTGCCGGTTTGCCGGCGGACAAGTCTCAACGATGAAACAAGAGTCATCAGCAGCGCTGTGCATTGTTTCTCTGTTAAACGGCCAGTTGCGTTCTGATTGTCGACGTAAACGTTGCTCTACATACTTGACTGTTTTGTTTTCGTGATTGTTGTATGTACAATCTTTGGTTTGTGATTGTGTAAAAAACTGTGTTGTGCGATTAGTGAACGTTAGCTATGGCTACTCAAAAACGTAAGCGTGTGTGCGTTACCCTTAAATAAAACTTGAAGTGCTCCAACGATTGGAGTGGTGGCTCCAACGTGGTGAGTCACTAGTAAAATTAGCCGCAGAGCTAGGGGTTGGCGTGACAACAGTTAGAGACTGGAGAAAAAACCGTAAAGACATCGAAACCTATTCTATGACCGTTGAAACGGAAGATGCTCTTAAAAATGTTAAAAAAACCTAAGTTAGAACTCGTTGACGAAGCTCTTTGGGTTTGGTTTTGCCAAGAACGGCGAAAAGGGACTCCTTTGTCGGGGCCTCTTGTAAAAGAAAAAGCCGTAAAGCTGTTTGAAAAATTGGGAGATGTTCTTTCCAGGCAAGCGAAGGTTGGTTTCACCGCTGGAAGGTTCGCCACGGCATTAGATATGTTGTTATTGCGGGTGAAAAGTTGTCTGCTGATGACGATGCTGCAAAAGATTTTGTAAAAAAGTTTCAAAAGTTGGTGTCGGATAGTAATCTTGTAGCCGAACAAGTATATAACGTAGACGAGACCGGACTGAACTATAAAATGTTGCCAAAATCTACTCTTGCTTCTAAAAATGAGCCTGTTTTGGGTACAAAGCTAGCTAAGGATAGACTAACAATTGCTATGTGTAGCAACGCCAGTGGCAGTCACAAACTGCCGTTGTTTGTTATCGGCAAATCTAAGAAGCCGAGAGCTTTTAAAAATCTCAATATGGCAACACTTCCCGTGTATTACCGTAATCAATCATCTGCCTGGATGGATTGTGCTCTTTTTAAAGAATGGTTTTTTCTTGAATTCGTGCCCGCTGTTAAAAACACTTAAAATCAAAAAACCTGCCACTTCGAGCTGTGTTGTTGCTGGCTAATGCACCAAGCCATCCCCCAGAGCATGACTTGAAGAAAGGCAACATAAAGCGATGTTTTTACCTCCACATGTCACCCCATTAATTCAGCCAATGGACCAAGGCGTAATCGAGTGGGTAAAAAGACGGTACCGGAAAAAATATGTCGGGTCTCTTTTGGATAAAACAGAAGGAGGCTGCTCACTATTGGAGGCCATGAAGATGTTAAACATAAAAGACGCCATCTATACCGCCGCTTCTGCATGGGATGAAATCAAAGAGACAACTCTTCAAAAATCGTGGAAGAAAATTTGGCCATCATTAAAACAAAGCGATAGTGCTGATAAGGACGATGATGAGCCCACATCATCAATGGAAGTTGACCTTGAAGCTGAAGAAAACGACGTCACAGAAACTCTTCAAGACCTGCAGGAACTGCAACACAGTGTCCAGCTGCAGCTGACAGATGTGGAGGAATGGCTGACCGAAGCTGACATGTCTGAGTCTACAAATGAAGAACTCAATGATGACGAAATAGTTGCTGCAGTTCAAAGCGCAAATAATGAAGACAGCGACGCTGAAGAAGAAGAAGTTGATCGTGATACTGGAGTGATGCATTCAGAGGCTAAAGACGCATTTGACGTAGTGTTACGAAATATTTGGAGCAGGACCCGAGAGCTACACCTATGGACGTGTTGTGGGCAAAGAAATGGCGTGATTTTTCAGCTAAATCAAGATTGGGTAAATTGAAGCAAAAGAGTATTAAGGACTTCTTCTAACTGTTTACCTTTGTGATTAAACAGTACAGTACTGTATGTATTTATAATATTTTTCGTTATTACTGTAATATAAAAATGAGCACTACATATGTGTATTGAGTGGGTATTTTGTACAGTTCTGTACTAATAGTTTTGTGCAATATACGGCTTTTTTACCCGAAAAACATGTTGTATTATTCCTCGGCATATCCGACCTTTTGGCCGTTCCGACCACGGCCCGGTCCCGTGAGGGTCGGATATGAGGGGTTCTACTGTATAAACATTTTTATGTTACGTTATTGTGGGCATCATTATTTTTATTTACTGACAATAAATTTGTGGTATTATCAAGATAACATTGATCTTATTTACAGATGATTCCAATATACCAGTAGAAAAGGTGGTTTTAACTACTACAGATATAGATAACGAAGTCAACATTTGTGAAGATATTAGTACATCAAGTCAGATGGCTATAACTGAGGACTGTGATGCAAATGATGTTGGATGTTCGTTCACTAAAGCTGTGGCAGAACCTTTTTCTTTAGAAAATAATTCAGAATATTTACCTGCTGACGAAGAAACTTCATCTGATGATGAAGTTGACAACATGCTTTTATCATCAAAGTGTCGGAATAAACGCAACATCATTCTCGATGGCATGGAAACATTTCCTGAAGTAACTGATCGTCCACGAAAGCAACGTTGTGTACTCGATAAATGGTCAAAAAATCTGCGTAAAGAGAAACGTGCCAAAAGGAAGCTTGTTTCTTCAATAAATAAAAGCATTCCTAAAGTAACCATGAAACCCGCTTGCCCACCAACTGCCGAAATCAGTGTTTTAGTAAACTAACTGAATTGGACAGAACGAGAATTTTCCGAGGATACTATGCACTGGCCAATTATAACAGACAAAGTGATTTTATTCACGGTAACACGGATAAAAATCCTAAAAAATGTACTGCATCATTACAATCTAAACCAAACAATTTAGTGACATTTTTTCTCCCGAAGAATAATGCAAGAATTAAAGTTTGTAATACGATGTTTATCAATAGATTAGGAAATGAAGACACAGGTGGATAAAGGTGTCATGTAACAATTTTTGAAAAAATCGTTTTTTGTCAAAAATGTTCCCTAAATATACTGTATTTTCATTCCGCAAGGGTTTTGTGCATGTATTTTAAACAATTAATGAGATTTCTAAAAGATAAAGGTGTCATGTGTCATACTAGGGTGCCTTCTGTAGTAAGTAAAGGTGACAAGGTAACATGACACCTTCATCCACGAGAAAAAAGTTACTTTTGATTTAGGTGCCACTCAACTTGACACCTTAACCCATTAATGCCCATAATTCCCTAGTTAACATTTCACTGTATTTTTTTGTGGACGTTGTTGGAAAATGATTATTAAAAATAATATATCGAAGAGAAAAAAATTGTTTGACAGATTGAGTGATTTTTTGACTGGCAACTTTAGTTGCCACTGGGAATTAAAGGGTACAAAAAAACAGAAAAAAAAATTTATTTCTCATGAAACACTTTAAAACAATTAGCTGGATGGAGAGGTATCTGACACTTTGAACATAAGAAGGAAGTACGACTTCCACAAATCTTACACCGACGGTACTTTGAAGATCCTTGTTCGAGCACATGTTGTTTACCATCCTTGCGGATTTCTTCAAGAGCTGGTGAAAACTGCAATGATGATCTGACACCCGGTGCATGAGGAGCAGTGCCGAATGTTTTCAAAATTTGAATAACGCATTGTCGTTTAAAGTGAAGAAGGGGAATTTCATGACCAAGACGACGATACAGAAGCCAACTTTGAACACAACACATATCTATAGCCCATGAAAAGTACGGCCACCACCATTTTTTTGATCGTATTCTGCAACGATATGTTGCCAAAAATTGGTCAGATAAATCTACACCTCCCATATTACTATTATAGTTTGATATAGGCCCAGGAACATCTACAGAAATTTTTTTTCTTTTCGCTTCTGCTATAACGATTTAATTTCTTCATTGGATGTATTGGGTCACAGTTGGTAAGCACAGTCACAACGCTATTATCATTCCATCGAACCAATAATAAATAATCTGTGGATGATGTGGCAAGTTGTCCTTGGGATGTTGGGATTTGTTTTGAATTGACTTTTTTCTGGAAGTTTCATGGTATCATTGCATCGATTTTCTCCCAAGGTACCAGTACCACCAAGTCCTCTGACAGTCAGTTCGTTCATCAATCCAACGGATGTAAATAAGTTGTCAAAATATAGTCTCGTTCCTTTCTTTACTTGTATGTGATCAGTGAGGCCCAGAACAACATCCCCTCCTTGTCCTAAATCGGTTTTAGGTAAACGTGTTGCACTACCACAGTAAGGTTCAGCATGATAAACGTACCCACAAGGATCTGCAGCAACCCATAACTTGTATCCGAATCGAATTGGCTTACCTTTTATAAATTGTTTATTGTAATGCCTTCCATAATAAGGAATCATACTTTCGTCAATGCTAATTTCGGGACCTGTCGAGATTTGTTTGAAAATGGGATTTAGGAGATCAAATAATGGACGAACTTTATACAGAGAGTCTGTGACATCTTGGGTTTGGTTATCTGCCAAGTGAATAAAACTCATCAGCTCGTCAAAACCAGTCCGTCGCAATGAATCGGAAACTAATGGTAAATGAACATCGGGGTCTTGTTTCCAGTACAATCTTCTGTTTGGAAGTGGGTGGTAACCAGATAAAAGCATAATGCCTACAAATGACACAATTTCCTCCTGAGTAGCGTTCAAATTATGCACTAATTTCTGACCAGCGTAACGATTTGTTTCTGTCACAATATTATGTAGCACTTCTTCAGTGAAATAAGCCCTAAAAGCATCCAACGGACATTTGATTGATACTTTTAGAAAATCTTCGGTAGTAGGCCGAAATTCTTCAATAAATTCTGGTATTTTGGACGTAAATACGCTTTTATTATTTTTCCAGATTAGAGGATTTTTTTCGCCTTACGAACTATTTTTTGTGAACCTTTCATAGTAGTTAGTACAGGAGCCTTGCGTTTACGTCTAAAAGTTTCTCGGGAGGTACTGGGGCCTGAATACTCGAAATTATAACTATCAGAATCGTCACTATGAATTCTATCATCTAATTCGTTTCCTCTTCTGCGTATTTCACTAAAACCTTAGATCTTAGAATTCGTGCCGGCAGATGATCAACATCACCCGTAGCTTCTTCATCGGACTTATCAGAATCTTTATCTGTTTCTGCATCTGTCGGTTCATCTGGGGGACATAATACTATAGTATCAGGAACTGTTACATCATCATCTTCTAAAGCATCTAATAATTCGTGGAATAATAATCCCTTTCCGTCTTTTCCGCGAATATATCTGCAACAAAAAGTAATCATTTAAAACTGTACCCACCAACGCCCAGTGGCAACTAAAGTTGCCAACGTCATCCACACACTGATATCAAAGATGTGAAAACTATTCTTTTACATATATATGCACTAGTTATTTGTTTATAATGTATACTAGATGGTAGTATCAAACATACTTAAAAATAACATCAAATAAATTGTATTTACTTACAGTTTTTCATCAACTGCCATGATAATTTACAAAAACTCAAAACGTAAATTAAAATGCACACACAACGTTTAACTGTTAACGTACTTGCGCGAAATGGCTGACGTGTCTGGTCGACAAGGCTTCAAACTAAACAGAAACCATGGGTGCACTGCTATTTTTTTCATGTGGGGGCTTCTGTACCGAAAAAAAGCCATGGTCAATAAAGTTGCCACTGGGCATTAATGGGTTAGTTTGAGGTTATGTTACATTTTTATTTCACGAAAGTGATAGGAGTTTGTCTTGCTTTGTGTAGTTTTTATAGTTTAAAATAATGTCAAAATGGCCCAGAGGATAATTTCTATGTTCCTTAGTAAAACTGCAAACAGAAACGTGTTTGCAACAAAAAGGTAGGTAAAATTATTAGTTTTTTAGTTAAATGCAGAATGTTGAGGTTATGCAACAATACTAAAAAGGAAATAATATTAAATCAATCAATAAGACTAGTAACAAGTGTACAGTTAAGTGTTAAGTTTTAAAGCAAGTTAAATTTCTCTATTACTAGTCTAGTAACTAGTTAACTTGTGTTTAATATTGCAGATTCTAATTAAACAAAACATTGTGACGTTGTTGCCAAAACCAACATTTTCTTTAATAGCTTTTAAAATGAATGCAGTTAGGCTACTATTGCGCTGCTCGATACTGTTGCTATATTTAATACTGTTAAAAACACATTTGTAGATATTGCTGATCAGCCTGGAACAAGTAACAAAATTGTAGAAGAAAGGTCAAATACATCTAATCTAAACGGTACTGGCGGGGTTACGTCTGACGAAAACGGTAAGTAAACTATACTAATATTGTAAACTAGTTCATAAGGAATAGGGTTTCTTCTCATAGATAAAACGTTTGCATTTTGTTTTAGATGACGTGCATGCAGTATTTGACGACTCTCTATATGATAGAGACATAAACTCTGGTAGTGAGTATAACCCTGAAAGCAGTGGAACCTCATCATCAAAAGAATCAGATAACGAAACTTTCACTCACATTACTGCAGATAGTTCGTTTCAACAAAAGACTGCAGACCAAATGTTTGAACAAAAAAGAGAAATCGTTAAAAGGAAAGTATTTGAATTAAAAGAAAAAACGTTAAAAATTCGTCCGAGAAATCCTGACAGATGGAAAAAAAGAAAAGCGGCAATTGCTAGAGAGAGGGGAAAATAATATAGCTCTCAAACGGGAAATATTGTGGTAAAAAAGGAAACTAATACAGGAGTATTACGTAAAGGAAAATGTCGACTCAACTGTCATGTTTGTCATGTCCAATTTGACACAAAGGCGAGGAAGGCTATTTTACAAAAATATTATTCAATGGATTGCAATGCAAAAATGCTTTGTTATTTAAAAGCCTAGTTATAAAACCAGTTGCGCGACATAGGACAAACATTAAAAAAGCAAATACGTACTCTTTTACTTACTCAGTAACTTTCAATAAGAAAACTGAAGTAATTTGTCGAGATGCATTGTGTTCCCTTTACCAAATTTGCAGAAAAAAGATTGAACTTCTTCAACAAACATTAAAAAAGGGACTAAATGCTCCATCGCCTGATAGCAGTGGTCGCCATACAAATCGACCTCATAAGTTAAAGGAAGAAGTAGTGACGTTTATTGTAGGATACATTAAAAATTTCCAGCAGAACAGTCCCATTACTCGCGTAACAAAAATGGACACAAAAAATATCTCTCGCCTTTCTTGAATGTTACACAGATGTACAAGATGTACTTAAAAGAGTGTGAGCAAAATCAACTGGATAAGGCATATAGAGTAACCCTTTGGTCTTACGTAAAAATATTTTTAACTAAATTTAACTTGTCCTTTGAAGAAGTGACACTTGTAGTGTCTGTGACTCGGGAAAAAATACAGTAATTCACAAATCGGCATTTGATTCTCAAAAACTGGATAGAGAAAACCCAGCTATCCAACCTAACACGTGCTATATTACTATGGATCTTCAGCAAACAATGCCTTTTCCAAAACTGACAACAAGTAAGGCGTTTTATTTGCGTCAAATGTGGTATTATAATTGTGGTATTCACTGCATAACTTCTGAGCAAGCACAACCATTTTTCTTTAATTGGACGGAAAATATGGCCAATCGCTCAAAGAAAGCCAAAAAAATATTGATCACCTTATTATCTGGTCAGACTCGTCAGGACAAAACAAAAACTTTAGGCTTATCAGTCTCATATCAGTTTTTGGTATTAAAGGGTATGTTTAGGGTTATCGACAATAAATTCTCTGAGGTGGGTCATTCATACCTCGATTCAGACCGAAATTTCGGGCGAATAGAAAAAAAATACGTAAAAATGAAAACAATATAGATAGATAGATAGATAGATAGTTTATTTGACTGTAAGTTACAACTAGGTTTACAGCAAGTCAAAACTAAAATTATAAATAGTAAATATTACAAAAAATGAAAACAATACATTAAAAATATTTAAGACATTAAAATACTTAAAAAACGTACAATATAGACATATAATTAAAATATTAATAAATTTGGTCATGTTGCAGCTTAGGCATTCACAGATACACCCTCGTAATATTCACCTAATGTATAAGGACACATGGTCACTAGGTACTCTTTGACTTGGTTTTTAAAAGCTGTAGTTGAATTAATGTTTTTAAAATTTTGAGGAAGTTGATTATACAGTTGTAAACCACAGATAGTAGATGACTTCCTGCTTATTTCTAAATGTCGATAGGGTACTACAAACTGTCTCTTATTTCTTGTGTTGTGTGAGTGAATATCACTGTTACATAAAAAAGTTCTTTTATTTTTATGAATTAGTATCAATAATTCCAAAATGTAAATTCCATACACTGTTAATATATTCAAATCTCTAAATAGGTTTTTACAAGACCAACCATACGGAACACCTGCTATACATCTGACAATACGTTTTTGGGCCTTGAAAACGTCCTTTACACTAGAAGAACCACCCCAGACAGTTATACCGTAACTTATTGTCGATTGTACCTCAGCAAAATAAAAAAGACGAAGGTGTTGCAGACTAAGTATTCTACCCAAATTTCTCAATTGATAACATTTAGAATTGAGTTTTTTACATACATTTAAACAATGAGTCTTAAAAGATAAATGAGAGTCGAAAGTCACTCCTAAAAACTTTACATCACTACAACTCAAAATATCCTCACCATTGATGGAAATACTTAAATCAGGTTTGGTTGAATTTGAACGTGATGTAAATGATAAAAATTTAGTTTTGTGAACATTGAACAGGAGCGACTGATTACTGGACCAATCAGAGAAGGTCTTCAGAGAGTTTGTTATTTTATCTTGTAAAAAATTTATGTCTTTATCGCGATATAGCATTGTTGAGTCATCCGCATAAACTGATACAAACGCATCAGGCATTACATGTGGTAGTTCATTAATATACAAAATAAATAATATAGGGCCCAATATTGAGCCCTGTGGTACTCCATTCTTATTAATAATCGGATCAGACATTGAAATCTTGAAGTTATTTTTCACTTTAACTATTTGGTGCCGGTCTTTCAGATAGGAAACAAACCAACTATGGGCAACTCCCCTAACACCATATCTGTACAATCTATCGAGGAGCACATCGTGTTACACACAATCAAATGCACGACTGAGATCACAAAAAATGGCAGTTGGATTTTCACTGTTCTCAATTGAGAGTAAGACTTCATCATAAAAACTGTTAATGGCTGTGGAAGTAGAAAATTTATTTCGAAATCCATGTTGATGCTTTGTGATAATTTGGTTGATATCTAAAAATAATAAAAGTTGTTTTAGCATTGCATATTCAATAATTTTAGATATCACAGATGGAACAGACAATGGTCGAAAATTTGACATTAATTCAGGATCACCTTGTTTTAATACCGGTGAAATGATAGAAGTTTTCAGCATATTGGGAAAAACACCAGTATTGAAAGAAGCATTTATAATGTGAGTCAGTGGTGTCAAAATTTGAGACGCAATTTTCTTAATTACTATACCTGACATTTCATCAAAACCACACGATGCTTTGTTTTTAATTTTATATTTTATTATATCTAAGACATCTTCCTCTGTTACATAAGATAGGAACAAACTAGTTTGAACAAAATCATTGGAATGCTGAAAATTTAAATTTGGTTTAATTATTTTACTAATTATATCCACTGGTGCATCTATAAAGTAATCATTAAATTTGTTTGATATTATATCTGAATCTGTAATCCTAGTATCATCTATTTTTAGACAGATATTTTTGTGATTTTTTTGTTTTCCATTAAGTTCATTTATAACAGCCCATGTGGTTTTGTTTTTGTTAGAGGATTTAGAGATTTTGTTAAAATAAAATTGACTCTTTGTGGCCTCAACAAGAACTTTGTGCTGATATTTTTTTTGTCTATGTAGAGTTTTTAGCTCAGGGTAAGTCTTACTCAATATATACAAATCCTTCAGACTATCTGAAGAAGATTTTACTTCTTGGGTGACCCATGTATTTTTTTTGTTTTGGTAATGTTTGGTTTCTCTAATAGGACAACTAATATTGAAATAGAACTGTAATTTATTATGAAAGGCATTATATTTACTCTCAACATCATTTGCATGATAAACATCTTGCCATGTTTCTTTACTCAAGAGATTGTTAAATGCATCTATAGCGCCTTCATGTGTTACTCTGAAAGTATTTCGAACTGTTGTCATAGTTAGATTAATAAAATTCAATCTTAAAAGGAATATATCGTGATCCGATTCAGTATTTACATTTACAGTACCTACACAATCATCACAATTTGTATATACCTGATCCAAAATATTTCCGCATGTGGAAGTCGACCTTGTAGGTGTAAAGTTCCTAGGTGACAAACCATAAGATGCTAGAAGACCAGAAAATCTGTGTGAATTATTTAGTGTCATGGAATTTACATTAAAATCGCCTGTTAAAAATATGAATTGATTTGGTTTAAAATTTGAATTTAAAATAAGGTTAAGTTTTTCATAAAATACATCAAATTTACCTTTAGGAGATCTGTAGCAAACTAAAATTGTGTGTTGATTTGAATTATAATGCCACTTCAGCCCACATACCTCAATGTCTTTTTCAACACAGTACTGATCGAGTAAAATGGAATTAACCTTCATATCATCCCTTGCCCAAACTGCAACGCCACCACATTTATATTGGGATCTACTAAAAGAATTTACAATTTTAAAATTTGGAAAATTATAATGCATCACTTCGTCATTTGCTGCCCACGTCTCAGTCATACAAAGAAATTTCAAATCAGACTCCTTATAATCAGCAAATAAACAATCCATTTTAAATTGATTTAGTCCCTGAACATTTGACAGTAGGAGATCGTACTCATCCCTTCTTTTTTCCTGTTTAAAAGTCAATTCTTCATTCTTCACTTTATTTGCGTATGTGTTGAGCGCTTCATAAAAAACCTACTTACATAAGAGCCTACTGGCCATAGTTTTGGGTCCATCGCTTTACCGAAATTTTGTTCAAAAATTGAAACTTTAAAAGATGAATATATGTTGGGATGCTTAGCCGTTAACGACGTACATATTACTTCTGGAAAGTGTTTTTCTAACATCTTTTTAAGATTTTCTGCCGTTGTATGTTGGTCTACTCTAGTAACATGGAGATGGGTAAATTTTGGGACACCACTGATTTCTGAGTTCACATTATTACCTATAACAAAACGTCCATTCCTTTTTTTGTGTCTAACCATTTTCCAATCTTGCCCACTATTATTTGTAGCTGAATTTGTATTCTCAATATTTATCAAATTGTCATCGTTTGTTAAATTAATAATATCTGAACATTTTGCTTCCGTTTGTATTTTTAAAATATCAGCGGATAATTGTTTATTATTCTCGATTAAGGAAACAACTTGTTTATTTTTATTGGTAACATTTTTAAAGCCAGTTTTTGTTGGGGAACTCCTTTCTTTATCAACAGCTAGACTTTCATTAACAGCAGTATTTTTTGCGGGTGTAGTTTTTTTGTTTTTTGGGTATTCTTTACAGCTAGACTGTATCGGTCGTTCAAAATTGAGGTTTCTGTTAGAATTGTTTATTAAATTCATATTTTGTTGAGTAGATGGCGACTGGTCAGTTAATTTCATATATTTTAATAAATCTAGTTGTTCTTTTAGTAAATTTATC